TAGTCTCTCCTCGTAGCTCATACCTCTCAGCTCGGGTACTAGTCTGGTGGCAAACCTTTGAACCTTTTCCAGTTTAGTCTTATCCTTGACTAGATATGGACTCCATGCTGGGGCTGCATACTCCAGGATTGGCCTGACATATGTGGTATACAAAGTTCTGAATGATTCTTTACACAAGTTTCTGAATGCCGTTCGTATGTTGGCCAGCCTGGCATATGCCGCTGATGTTATCCGCTTGATATGTGCTGCAGGAGACAGGTCTGGCGTGATATCAACCCCCAAGTCTTTTTCCTTCTCTGACTCCTGAAGAATTTCCTCTCCCAGATGATACCTTGTATCTGGCCTCCTGCTCCCTACACCTATCTTCATTACATTACATTTGGTTGGGTTAAACTCTAACAACCATTTGTTCGACCATTCCTTCAGCTTGTCTAGGTCTTCTTGAAGCCTCAAACAGTCCTCTTCTGTTTTAATCCTTCTCATAATTTTAGCATCGTCCGCAAACATTGAGAGAAATGAATCGATACCCTCCGGGAGATCATTTACATATATCAGAAACAAGATAGGACCGAGTACAGAGCCCTGTGGGACTCCACTGGTGACTTCACGCCAATCGGAGGTCTCACCCCTCACCGTAACTCTCTGCTTCCTATTGCTTAGATACTCCCTTATCCACTGGAGCACCTTACCAGCTACACCTGCCTGTCTCTCCAGCTTATGTACCAGCCTCTTATGCGGTACTGTGTCAAAGGCTTTCCGACAATCCAAGAAAATGCAGTCCGCCCAGCCCTCTCTTTCTTGCTTAATCTGTGTCACCTGATCGTAGAATTCTATCAAGCCTGTAAGGCAAGATTTACCCTCCCTGAATCCATGTTGGCGATTTGTCACGAAGTCCCTTCTCTCCAGATGTGTTACCAGGTTTTTTCTCACGATCTTCTCCATCACCTTGCATGGTATACAAGTCAAGGACACTGGCCTGTAGTTCAGTGCCTCTTGTCTGTCGCCCTTTTTGTATATTGGGACCACATTCGCCGTCTTCCATATTTCTGGTAGGTCTCCCGTCTCTAGTGATTTACTATACACTATGGAGAGTGGCAAGCAAAGTGCCTCTGCACACTCTTTCAGTACCCATGGTGAGATCCCATCTGGACCAACCGCCTTTCTAACATCCAGATCCAGCAGGTGTCTCTTGACCTCCTCTCTCGTAATTTCGAACTCCTCCAAGGCCGCCTGGTTTACCTCCCTTTCTCCTAGCACAGTGACCTCACCCTGTTCTATTGTGAAGACCTCCTGGAACCTCTTGTTGAGTTCCTCACACACCTCTCTGTCATTCTCTGTATACCTGTCCTCGCCTGTTCTAAGTTTCAATACCTGTTCTTTCACTGTTGTTTTCCTTCTGATGTGACTGTGGAGTAGCTTTGGTTCGGTCTTGGCTTTGTTTGCTATATCATTTTCAAAAATTTTCTCTGCTTCTCTTCTCACCCTGACGTACTCATTCCTGGTTCTCTGGTATCTCTCCCTGCTTTCTGGTGTTCTGTTATTCCGGAAGTTCCTCCACGCCTTCTTGTTCAGTTTCTTCGCTTCCATACATGCCCTATTATACCATGGATTCTTTTGTTGCTTCTCGGATTTTTCCCTTTGGGCCGGGATGAACCTGTTTACTGCCTCCTGACACTTTTGGGTAACATAGTCCATCATACCCTGTACAGACTTGTCTCTGAGGTCTGTGTCCCAAGGTATTTCACTTAGGAAACTTCTCATCTGTTCATAATTCCCCTTTCTCATTCCCAAGGGCGCTTCCATCTTAACTTCCCTTATATCCCATTCATTTAGGGTAAATATCAAATCAAGCATTGCTGGTTCAACTTCTCCTCTCATTCTTGTTGGCTCTTTGGAATGCTGGCTTAGAAAGTTTCTTGTTGCCACGTCCAGCAGCTTAGCTCTCCATGTTTCTGGTCCTCCATGCGGGTCTCTGTTCTTCCAATCTATCTTCCCATGGTTGAAGTCTCCCATAATTAGTAGTCCAGATCCATTCCTGCTAGCAACAGAAGCTAGCAGGAGCTGTGTGTGTTAGTCCCCCTCCAAAACACGTCCAGAATGAGACGTACTCATTTTAGCAATTCTAGGGCTGAACATGTGCTCACAATGACAGCCCCCTTCAAAGCTGGAGAAATTGCTGACCTGGAGAGCGTGCAGAGATCCTTTACTGCTAGAATCCACTTAGTAAAACAACTATATTATTGGGACCGACTAAAGAGCCTAAATCTGTATTCCATTGAGCGCAGGCGGGAGAGATACATAATAATTTACACATGGAAAATAGTAGAGGGGCTGGTCCCAAACCTGCACACAGAAATAACATCACATGAGTCCAGAAGACATGGCAGGATGTGCAGAATACCCCCGTTGAAGAGCAGAGGTGCAACAGGTACTCTGAGAGAGAACTATCAACATCAGAGGCCCGAGACTGTTCAACACGTTTCCACTACACACAAGGGACATAACTGGCCGACCACTCACAGTGTTCAAGAGAGAACTTGACAAACACCTCCAAAGGATACCTAATCAACCAGGCTGTGACTCATACGTCAGACTGCGAGCAGCGGCGTCTAACAGCCTGGTTGACCAGTCCAGCAACAAACAGGCCTGGCCAGACACCGAGCAGCGAAGACATTGATCTTGAGAACAGCCTCAAGACAGAGTCCTCCTCCCTTATATACTTCATAATAATTCCCATTAATCACTCTTGTTCTAACAATCGTATGACTGATTTAAGGAGGTCATTCAAATTCATAGTCACTCATTTCTGATTATTCATTCATATTAACTTGCAATCGAGATAATCACTAGGCCGGGGGCCGGTCGGCCGAGCGGACCGCACACTGGACTGGTGATCCTGTGGTCCTGGGTTCGATCCCAGGCGCCGGCGAGAAACAATGGGCAGAGTTTCTTTCACCCTATGCCCTTGTTACCTAGCAGTAAAATAAGTACCTGGGTGTTAGTCAGCTGTCACGGGCTGCTTCCTGGGGGGTGGAGGCCTGGTCGAGGACCGGGCCGCGGGGACACTAAAAAAGCCCCGAAATCATCTCAAGATAACCGTCCCATCCCAAATTCTTATCCTAATCCCTTCCCAGTGCTATATAATCGTGACGACTTGGCGCTTTCCTCTCTGACAATTCCCTCTATTTTAAGTTATATTGTAGTCCATTTAGCACCTTGCATGCATCAGACAAGTTGCAACAACCCTTGCAACGCCGCCTCTGACACAGTGCTCACCACAACACTCTCCATCACTCCATCACTCCATCACCAACACAACACCATCAACCCAGCTGGCATCAGCGTCAACATTCCAGGGCTTGCAATAATCGACAATTTGCAGCATCACAGAGTATAAGGATTTGTGAAACCTCGGACGCCTAGGGTAATGGAGGCTGGGGCTTTACCCCGAGCTGCTCGGCCATCATGGATTATCGCAGCAGGCGGGGCCGGAATCTGCGAGCAGCCAGAGGGTTAATATTTCATCCCCAAGCTGGCCAGAGCGCCTCCAGCCCTCGGGTCAGGGTCTGGAGTTGAGACTGTGGACTACCATGTTGTGGTAGAGACGGGCTGTGGACCACCATGTTATGGTAGAGACGAGCTGTGGACCACCATGTTGTGGTAGAGACGGGCTGTGGACCACCATGTTGTGGTAGAGACGAGCTGTGGACCACCATGTTGTGGTAGAGACGGGCTGTGGACCACCATGTTGTGGTAGAGACGGGCTGTGGACCACCATGTTGTGGTAGAGACGGGCTGTGGACCACCATGTTGTGGTAGAGACGGGCTGTGGACCACCATGTTGTGGTAGAGACGGGCTGTGGACCACCATGTTGTGGTAGAGACGGGCTGTGGACCACCATGTTGTGGTAGAGACGGGCTGTGGACCACCATGTTGTGGTAGAGACGGGCTGTGGACCACCATGTTGTGGTAGAGACGGGCTGTGGACCACCATGTTGTGGTAGAGACGGGCTGTGGACCACCATGTTGTGGTAGAGACGGGCTGTGGACCACCATGTTGTGGTAGAGACGGGCTGTGGACCACCATGTTGTGGTAGAGACGGGCTGTGGACCACCATGTTGTGGTAGAGACGGGCTGTGGACCACCAGGTAGAGGGTAGAAATACCTAAGTTACTCTATCCCTTTGAGATGCATTTAATTGTCCGAATAAACGTTCTTGAACTTGGCAACAGGCTGTAAACTTTCAGGTAGACACGGGCTGAGGACCTCCAGATAGTGGGTACAGACGGTCACTTGAGATAAAAGTTGAGAATTCAAGCAGAAGAGACGGGAGCACCTGGCTCATGCTTGGTAGGGAAGGGAACATCAGTAACTTCACAGTCACATCAGGGAACTAACTAGGGAAGGTAGCGGAGGAGGACCTCGGAGGAGGACCTCCTAGGAGCAAACACAAACTCGAAAAGTCACGTCCTGCTCCCCCTTAGCAACATTAATTAGCCTCTTCTACCACATTTTTCCTTCCCCCTCCCCCTCACTTCCCCTTAGCTCCACCCCTTCATCACCCCCTCCCTCCCCTCCTCACAATCCCTCCAACAAGTGTCTCAAGAAATCTAAACGTCCCCAGACGCACATTCTGCAAGGCTGGAACGACGAAATCTGCATTAAAGCAAGGACTTGCCGGATTAATCTCCAAAGCGGATTAATGGCGTTAACACGCTGGAATTTGTATTAATCCCCTGCAGAGATTTACATTAACTTTAGCAGGATTGCCAATACCTGAACTGAAAGTCGTGCTCAGCGGTAATGGCTTCGGATTAACAAAGAACCTAATTATATCTGAACGATCCGGAATTAACGCTAATGAATTCGAATTAATCAGACTACAGCGCGCTTACCTGAGGAGCTCATCGCTCGCCCACTTGGACACGAAAAATACAGAGATGTGACACGAAGTGTAGTGAAATATGTGTAACGAATATCACACTTTTTCACTCACGG